TATCAGCAACTCAGTAAGATTTAATGAGGCTTTCACAGAATCTTTATCATATAGTTGTTGCTGTACACCTCCTATTTTATGTTCTTAACAAACAGATATTTGAGGTTGTCCATAGCAAAAAATGGACTTTGCAATTATATTCATATAGGATCGGGGGTTTCATTTTGTGAGCTCAGTGTTCACAGTACATCTGGTGTAAACTGTAAAGTATAAAATCTTGAAAAAAAATTGTAATTATTTTACTAAATTTACGTTTGAAACATGAAAGTTAACATGTTTGTGCCGGTAGGGATTTTCAGTAAAATTTGGTTATAAGAAAGGCACTGGGACCTCAAATTTTGCTTCATTAACCAAGATTCTTTATAAGAACATTATGGAAAGTCTTTTACAGGATTCATAAAAGTTTCCTTATAAACAAGATTTCTTTATAAGCAAGTTCTTTTTAACTGAGTTTTACTGTATAAATGAAAAAAAAAAATCAAACATTTGGTCCTTGCTATTGAAATGATAATGTCAAAGACGTTCACAAACTTGTGGTGACTGAACTGTACAAAGAATGTGACACATTATAAAATGTTTGGGTGATTCTATTTCTAGAAAAGTACAATATCTAAAAAAAAAAAAAAAAAACCCTAGTATTTCCAAGGCAAAGTGTTAACAATCCACTGGTCTTATTTTTCATATTCTTCAGAATCTGATTTTGATTAGAAAAATGGAAGCTATTTGGAATTTCATTGGCTAGTTTTTCTGTTCAGTTAGCACTAAGTTCATCTGTAAACCACAATCTATCAGTTTTTCTGTATTGTTACAGTATGTAACAGGAAAGGAAAAAATTTATTACTGGGAATTGAATCCTGGACCCGGCCAGGCTGTATTACTTGTCAGGTGTTCTAACCACTGAGCTACCCTGGCCTCAGGCCAGTATCCATTTATATATATACTAGATGAAATCCCGCGCAAGCGCGGGGAATTGAATTTATACCAATACCGACACAAAAAATCTAATAATATACATGTATATATTGTAGTTTCTACTGACAGCCTACAGGCTTATAGCAAGAAGAAATACTTTGTTCAAAATCCCGCATAAAGTAGAAGTACGTCTCTAACCCCCCCCCCCCCCCCCCCTGTAAAACTTAAATAACAATATCATTAATTGACGTTTATTGTGAAACCTGTTATATACATGTACTATATTATGGATATTGTATATACTATGTTACGGATATTGTACTTCAGATGCTCTTATTCATTTCCGTCAAGAATAAAAACAGTGAATATGCACATTTTACTGAGAAATAGATTTTTTTTTGGTCAAGATTCACAGGTACCTGGGTCTTGGTTTATAAATATGTATGTACCTTATTGATATGTAAAAACTGTACCTTACCTCTTTTTTTTACATATCAATAAGGTACATACATATATATAATCCAAGGCCCAAGTACCTGTGTAAAAATTAGCTTTTATTCAACGCCCTATGATTACTCTGGCGAATTTAGAGGGGCCCATCCCCCCTCCCGTTTTGTGTCCAAAATATACATAAAATTTAATAAATCAATTTTTTTTTCGGTGTGTCCGTGGGCCCCTACCCCAAACTTGTTGCCCCCCCCCCCCTTTTTTTAAGATTCCTGGATCCGCCACTGGAATAGGCCGAGTATTTGATACAAAAGACTGTATTCAGAAAAAAACTGAAACGTATTGATTAAAATGCAAAATTTAACAGCATAATTGTATTTGAATAATGCCTTATTCATTAATATTCTCTTTTCATGTAAGCAAGTTTATTACGAAGTAGAAATTGTACTTCGGGTTCGTTGCCACGATGCTCTCAGTGAGGAATATATATACAAATTTTACCAATAAATTTATTAGGAAAACCTACAACATATATGTAATAGTCTTTCGATATATAAATATATTCACAACTTACAGTGTTATCAGTGATTTACCATTATTTCAATGACCATTCACACAAAAGCTTTTTTTTTATGTTAAAGCAGCTATAATCGCCTAGTTTTTCTTTTTAACATCGGGCTCGATGCTATATGATGTTCTAGAAGCTTCCGTCAATATCACGATCGGTGAATGACGAAAATAATTTGCATATTTTCCTTTTTAATCAGTTATCACAACTTATTTTTTTTATATCATTTAAATCAAGTTTTGATTGAATAATTCAGTAATGACGTTTAATGAAATAAATAAACGATTGCTTGTTGTCAGTTTCATTAAAAATTGCCAGTAACTTAGATCCGCCAACCGAAAAACGCCACCGTACTCATGTTTTTGCTATTTCATGGCTGTTTATAGAAAATAAAAGTAGACTTTTAATTTAATGTACGATACTTACAATGCAAGTGAAATCTAAATATAGTTTACGGACATCATCTTGTATCATGTGTATTCTTAGAGGAGTAAGTAAGAAATCTGGTGCACCCGTTTCGGAGTTTATTTGCAAAATTTATTAATTTATGACTATAGATATATATTATATATATATAGTCACTTGTATTTGGTTCAATTTTATGCCCCCATAATCAAGATTAGGTGACATAATATAGTTTATCCATATATAGTCCGTCCGTTTGTCTGTGTTTGTTTGTCTGCAAAAACTTTAACCTTGCCCATTAAACTTTTGATTTGTTGGAGCTATGTGTATTCCTAGCGACAAGACCTTTCTTTGGTTACCAACATATTTGACCTCCTGACCTTGGAGTTTGACCCACTTTATTTGCAAAAATTTTACCAATCTTTAACCTTGGCAATAACCTTTGAACGGTTGGTGCTAGGGATTCCTTTTTTCATGGGCAAGACCTTTCTTGATACCAAAATTTTTTATCTCTTGACCTTGATGTTTGAGTTTGATTGCATTTGAGAAACTTTAACCCTTGCCATGAGCTGCCATATGGGGGCATCAGTGTTTCACAAACACATCTTGTTGAACATGATGTATGTTAGTGATATTTTTACTGCAGTTATATATGAGAGATCATCTTCATCAGACAGAAATTGTGTCATCAGGTTTGATAAATGTACAAAATGTACATTATTGATATCACATAATGTGTTTTTAATCAAGTTGTATGATATCTCATGCTGTCTTATAAAAATCTAATATATTCTGAAAAATAATAAAACATATCAAGTGAACTTGATCATTTTGAAATTTTAACTTTTGTCTGATACAGAACACAGCAGGATGGGTGTTGACTCTAACATATGCATACTGAATCTCAGTTTTATCTGCAGCAGTTATTTGTGCCTCCATTTAATTTATAATGGATTTTTTTGCTTTGGTCATTTTTTGCGATCATTTCTCTCAGTTTTTATGCCACCCTAATTAAAGATTTGGTCTATTCATCTGTCTCTTTATCTGCATAATCAAATTTAACCTTTTGCCCATAAGTTTTGATTAGTTGGAACTAGGGATTTTTTTATTGCACATGTGTATTCCTTGTGACAAGATCGACCTTTCTTTGGATACCACTTTTGCTAAATTTTACCAAACTTTGACATATTGACCATATTTTTGAATGTTTTATCGCTAGGGTTTTCACATTTCACATTGTGTATTCCATGTGACAAGACCCTCTCTTGGGTACCAACATTTTTTATCTTTTGACCTTGATGTTGGAGTTTGACTGACTTTTGAAAACTTTAACTTTGGCAATGGCTTCAGTTATCATTTCTTTAATTAAATTTCCATTGAAAGAAATAAAAAAAAAAAAGTAATGTAATCTTCTGTGAAGGAGAAAAGAGAATTTGTTTGTGATATGTATCGATCTTTAACGGCCTGCATTTACATTATGACATGTGTCCCCCTTTGCACATGTCACAAATCAACTTAACACCCGGGGTTAAAGTGAGGGATATCAGATTTGTAGGCTGTCATGTGCACAATTTTAAATCTATATTTAAATCTATTGATAACCATTACAAAAAGAGGGAAATTTTTTTTGAAAAATGATAGAAAGACTCAGAAATATGGAAAAACATATGTTTGTACTTTTAATGCCCTTTAAAATTGTTTGCATTTATGGCAATAAAGAATTTTAATTCGTTTTTCTTTTTAGCATTTGGATAAAATAATATGAAATTAAAATTTCTTGCAAACAGTATTCAATTAAAAAAACACTTTAAAGGAATACATGTATACAATCATATACTAAACTATATCTTAATCATAACTTTTCTTTAATAGAATATGATAATTATGCCTCTTTGGCAATATTTGTGTTTGACAGACAGGAATGCGTAGAAGTGTTAATTATCTCCTCCTGGATAAATCACGTATGATCATAATGATATTGAAATGTTGACGACGTCCTGAGTAATTGCAGCTTTAATACTTTCCTCTATGACGTGGTAATTTTTGCTTTCAATTGCAACCGAAAGGCATTTTTTTTTAACCAGTGTGTCATATTAATCAGCTCCGTGCGTTCTTTCCACTTTCCAATGATGAGAGGAAGGAGAGTGGTGTATTAATTCAAAAAAAAAAAAAAAATTGAGAAAATAACACAAGACCATTCATAAATACACTGTTACAGAGATGCATGCACAGTATATATAAAGTACCCAGAAGATTGTATAAACTTGTATAACCCAGACTGATACACCAAAAAAAAAAGAAAATTTAAAAAGAAATTTTGATTTTGTTGTTGTTTTTTTTTTTTACTGGCACACTGCATTAGCTTTGAAGGAATCAACATAATAATGATGGTTTACACATAAACAACTCATAACGAGCTCTTTGATCTCTGGTAAAGATTAACCGCAGGAAACATTATTTTATTCAGAAATTTTCATAGTCATCAGATCAACTCAGTCTAATTACCAGTAGCTTGGTGCATGTATATAAAAACTTCAACAAAACTCAATCTGCAAATTCTCTCGCATAATTAATGAAAGTAGACGGAAAAATGAAGCTATTTGTCTGTGCCATTTGAGAAGAATATTACTTTGAGAATTAATAAATACATATATTAAATAAATATTACCTGAATCTTAAAAAGCTTGTGAAGTTCCTCAAGAAAGTCCAAAAATAAAAAATATAATCCACTGTGAATTGAAATCTCATGGAACTGAATTAAATCACGTAAACTGGCACTCGAATCTCGTGTATTTGACACTATCCGTCTGACTCTGCGTCATTATTAAATGTCATCTCTGTCAGTATAAATAAATGCTGAAAATAAAATTTAAGAGTTGTTCCCAAGTAATTCTTGCTTATGGAAACTCACAGTGCCTACAAAAATGAGCTTTCAACTGCAATTCTCACTATCACATTTATCAATACGTTACTGCATTATTTTCTACTCCATTCCTGATGACGGGAGTGAAATAAAAAGATTTATTTGAAGATTTTCCAGATACTGATAATTTGTCCCAGAATTAAAATCCAGCTGTGCTTGGAGATTGCTTACCATAAATATTCTTTCATTAGAAGGATTCCTTATTATAACCACCTATATGCAGTTTCTCCAACCAGAGTGTCCAGCCCACACAACTGTGATTTTCCTTTGTAATCAAGAAAAACATTTATTGCTAAGTCCTTATCAGTATTTCTTCAAATACAAGTAATTTTTCAAATGTCTGTCACTTTTTGGTCTGTCTGTACTAAAGCACTGCTTGTTTACACTTCTGTTGTTAATACAATAATCCATTTAAGTGTGTGCTCAGATATTGAAAAACTTGCTCAACTTCAAAGACATTTCTCCGTGCATTCATCATTTGTTCTTTTCATGTTTAAACATTAACGGAGAGAAAACCACAGATCCGGCAAAATTTCCACACACAGATGCCAGGTGACATATTGGGTATCCGAATACCGAGTCCTTACACAACCCTTGCCGCTCGCAGATGTAAACTATCTGTTTTTGAATGCTGCTGAGAACATCTAGTTATATTCCAGCCTGCACTGGTATACGTAAATTGTTTTCCGTATATTGATCTAAATGACAATATAAACTTTATATAAGCAGTTCTTCAGATATTGATTTTTAGCCACAAAGCACTAAATGGGCACTTTTTTTTATCATCTTTGTCATAGAACTTGCTTTGATCATAATATATAATAAACATTTTACCAATTTTAAAAGTTGATAGTCCTTATACAGTGTGTGTAAGGTCCACTAGATCAAAGAGAGTAGATTACCGGTACATTTTTTCACGATCCCAGTTTCCTGATTTAGGTCCAGGTTTGCAGTTTAATGTACTTATCCCCGTGTCACTGACTCTGCTTCCATTCAGGTCTGTCACATTCTCAGAGGCCACCTGATATGTGGAAAAAAAAGAAATTGTTTTTAAAAAAACTTCATAATTCAAAAAAAAAAAAAATGTTACGAATGTAAATCTGAATGATTATAGATAAAATTGAACAAATCCTGATCCTAATGAGTTCATTAAATAATTATAATTAACAAACTCAGCTGCAAAGTTATTGGTATGGCTTTTATTGTTGTAGTTATAAATATAGTATTAATAGGTTTGTGCTCCATACAAAAACAACAATTTATTTTCTGTGACAGCTAAAGTCACTATGGATTTTGTCAACCAGATTATTTTTTACCTGAATAATTTATCAGCCTGAGTATTGAACACCTATTGATTACAATAACTTGGTTACAATCGGCAAGTTTATTTACTATACAGGATAAAGTTTCTCTTATCCAGGGTAGTTTGACTTACATGTAGTTGCATGAATGTTATTTCCCGATATTGACAAGGAGCAAGTACACAGTGGGTGTGACCGGTCAGCAGGGGATGCTTACTCCTCCATGGCACCTGATCCCACCTCTGATGTTTTTGGAGGTCCGTGTTTGCTCTGCTCCCGATTTGTAAATTGTTTTTATGGACTTTGAGCTTGAATACTGTTCGTTATCTCCATATATCATCTATCTTAATTAAAGGACTAAATTTAGTAATGGCTGTAACTTGCCCCCTTGAACCCCAAAATCAAACTTTGATGAGGGAAATCTGAGAGTTTGTTCTAAGCCAGGACAATATTGGCAGACTTCAAAACTTTAAACATTTTTATTAGCTGTGATGTCATCATTAGTTTGATATGGCATCAGAAAATGATATTAATCAAACTTTTCGCTCAGTTTCAAAGAAACTATTTGAGATATTTTTTTTATCGAAGTTCATATGCTGATAAATATTGATGGGAGTTATTCAGCTTCATCAACATTTTTTGATCTTGACCTTTGACCTTGATCTCACTTTTCTTAAATTTGTGTTTAGCTCAAGTTTCAAAGAAACTATTCAAGATATTTTTATAAAACTCAATATGCTTATACATATTGAAAAGAGCTATTCAATACATCAGTATATTTTACCTTGATGTTTCCTATGATCTTGATCTTAGTTTTCTTAAATACAATGTAAGTGATATCTCAATTTCAAAGAAACTTAAAATATTTTTTATCAAACCTTATGTCTTTATACATATTGATGAGAACTGTTAAACTACATTAACACTTTTTTTTTTACCTTGACCTTACCTTTGACCAAGTGACCTCATTTTTCTTAAATGAGCGTTAAGCTTAGTTTAAGAAAGAAACTATTGAAATGTTTTAATCAAACCTAATATACTGATATGTGTACATAATTTGGTGAGAGCTATTCAACATATTTAACCTTGACCTTTCCTTTGACCTTGACTTCAAAATTTTGTCTAGCTAAATTTCAAAGAAACTATTTAAGATATTTCTCTCAAACTTCATATGCTGATACAAAGGGAGTATTCAATGGCATCAACATTTTTTACCTTGACTTTTCAATTTGTGTTTAGCTTAGGATTCAAAGAAAGAAATCTTATCAAACTCAATATGTTGATACATATTGAGGAGAGCTATTCAACTTCATCAATTTTTCTGTCCTTGATCTTTCCTTTTGACCTTGACCTGACTTTTCTCAAAATTTTTTTAGCTCAGTTTCAAAGAAACTTTTCATATTTTTTTAAGATCGAAGCTTATGCACTGGTACGGTCATTAATTTGTGAGAATTCATCAATTGTGTCCATTTTTTTTGAAAACTTATTTATTGTGTATAAAACTCATTTTTAAAGAAATTATTCATGATATTTTCATCAAACTTCATGCACTAAGACAAATCTTCATGTTTCATCGCTAATAAACCCTGCACGGACATGGCATTCATGTCTTGTAGACATATTCCTAGTTCAAAATGTTACTCCTATTACAGTTTTGGTCCTGGATTTCAATAAGACTATACTAAAGTACAAAATTCTCTATATGACTGGCCTTTTTATTTTTTACAGTGTTGCCATCATTACTAAAAATAGAAATTTCTTTGAAATTCTTTTAAAATGCAACTCCTCCTACAGTTTTGGTCCAATTTCAATAAAACTTTGCACATAAGTAGACTTGACACTAAGATACAGAATTCTGTATATCGGTTTTTGATTTCAATGAATGGTTTTGCCATGGTTACTAAAAATAGAAATTTCTGTGAAGAACTTTCAAAACGCTACTCCTCCTACAGTTTTGGTCCAATTTCAATAAAACTTGGCATACAAGTAGACTACACAAAGATACATGATTCTGTATATCAGTTTCTGATTTCCACAAAGGGTGTTGCCAGAGTTAGGAAAAATAGAAATTTCTCTGAAATTCATTTAAAGTGCTACACATGTACTCCTCTTTCAGTTTTGATCCAGTCTCAAAAAGACTTGGTACACAAGTAGAATATACTAAGGATACATAATTCTATATATCAGTTTTTGATCTTGTTAAACGGTGTTGATATGACACCATTGATATGTGGAAGTGATTTGAAAGTCCCAATCACTATTTTCTTATTGTATTCTAATCATCTGGAACCTTCAGATATCTTGACCCGTTGAGTTACAGATAATGAGGTTTGACTGTATATTCCATGTTATGTTTAGTGGCTATTATGTTGATTGCCAATCAGTAAAACTTTGGCCATGCGGTGTGTATATATATTTCTGTAATTGACCAGTAAATAATGTAGATGTATTGTGTATCGTATGGTGACCCCAGTGTATCACTTAGTGTTATTGGTAAGAGGGAAAAATATATTATTGTTTCAAGTTATTGCCAAGATGAAGTTAATAGCATCTGTCCTTTGTTACAGATCTAAACCAATTTAGACTGTACCCTCTGATTCATCTATGGGGGGCTTTGTTATGGTGGTGAATTGGAAAAAGAAGGAAATTATTAGTTTTGTATCTGAAAATGATCGGAATCTGATGGTATTCTGCAGGTCTGTGTTAAAGACCTCACAAGGACCTTGTTTTGTTTAGTTTATTTTCAAAGGATGTAGATTAGCAACATGTCTGAGAGAGAAGAAAGAAATAATACACAAACAGTCTGATTTAATGGTGAAAATGTCTAAACAATTATTCTAACATTTGCCAGTGGTTATCTAAATGAGTTTGTAACCATGCAATCTGCACTTCAGTATGATATGGAGTAAAAAAGGAGATGGTGAATCGCTCACAGATACATGAAATATGGATCATCTTAGACTGTCAGATGACAACTAGGGAAAAATAGACAAAAAAATTTTTCATATTTTTATAAAATAAAAATGAATAAAACAAATAAATCTTTAAGACTATAATCTGAGAATTGACTGTATCCATTCAAATTTTATTTAGGCCAGATAAAATTTATCCTTAGATTCTCATCCCAGCCCACCCCTCTCAAAGTGTCCCACCCTTTTTTTTCAATTTTGTTTTTTATTATCTTTTGCAATATGTTGGTTGCCATCAATTACAGTCTAAGTTTTAGAATTACTCCCCATTTGTATTAAAAGTTGTGTGGTGCTATGTTTAGCACAGGAGGGTATGGAGAGCAAAACAGCAGTTTATTTCATATTTAAGGGTTGTCGGCAGACTTAAAACAATAATATTGCTACAGAAAAATGAATGATAAATCTCTAAGAACTGATTTAATTAGTAGAGGCTATTGTATAAGGACAGTAGAAATCTGATATTTTCAAACAAAGCACAAGTAGTTGTCGGTCAAACAAAAAAATAAATACATTTAGTAAAAGGCCAGTAAGAAGTGGTGAATTAAGGAATAATTGTCTACTGGTCAGAGACCAGAAGAGCTTGTGCGATAGTAAGGTGTCAGTCATCCGTCTAGCTGTCTGTCTGTCCGTCTGTAAACAATATTTCAAAACGCTATTCCTCCTGCAGTTTTGGTATGATTTCAATATAACCTGGCACATAAGTAGACTACACTAAGATACATAATTCTGTGTATCGGTTTTTATTTTCGATGAACGGTGTTGCCATAATTACTAAAAATAGAGGTTTCTGGGAAATACTTTGAAAACGCTACTCCTACAGTTTTGGTCTGATTTCATTAAAACTTGGCACACAAGTAGACTACATAAAGATACATAATTCTTTGTATCGTTTTTTGATTTTGGTGAACGGTGTTGCCATGGTAACTAAAAGTAGAAATTTCCTTGAAAAACTTTCAAAAGGCTACTCCTCCTACAGTTGATCTGATTTCAATAAAACTTGGCTTATAAGTAGACAACACTTAGATACACATTTCTGTATATCGATTTTTAATTTTGAAGAATGGTGTTGCCATGGTTACTAAAAACAGAAAATTCTCTGTAATACTTTCAAAATGTTACTCTTCCTACAATTTTGGTCTGATTTCAGTATAACTTAGCACACAAGTAGACTACATTAAGATACATAGTTCTGTTCATCATTTTTTTTTTTGATTTTGATGAATGGTGTTGCCATGGTTACTAAAAATAGAAATTTCTGTGAAATACTTTCAAAATGCTACTCTTCCTACAGTTTTGGTCTAATTTCAGTATAACTTGACACACAAGTAGACTACACTAAGAAACATAATTGTCTTAATTGTTTTTTGATTTTGTTGAATGATGTTGCTATGGTTACTAAAATCAAAATTTCTGTAAAATTCTTTCAAAAGGCTACTCCTCCTACAGTTTTAGTCTGATTGCAATAAATCTTGCCACAAAAAGAGACTAAACCAAGGATCATTATTCTTTTTATTGCAGCTGTTGCAAAGTTTCAAGTCCAAGTGCTACTTTTATCTTCCTTTGTTATAAGTACAAACCAGCAGAGCTACAGTCTCGTCAGAGACTTCTTGTTTGGTTTCATGATATGATCAAGCAATTGGCTTGTGTGATAATGTGCATGAAAGCCAAAGGCATTTATGCATAAAATTATCATGCAAGCCAATTGCTTGATCATTGTCATGGAACCAAAAGATCTGACAGTTATTCCTTATATTTACATGCTCTTGATTTCATAAATTCAGGTGCTTCAAGCCCCACTTACCTCTGACTCTCCCTGTCCCGTCCCGCCCTGCATGTGATTTTTTTTTAACCATGCACGCCTATCGATGAACCAGTAGCTTTATGTGGAAATCAAGTATTTTTACTATTTTAAGTTTTATCTCGGACAAAGAAATTTAAAAATGTAAATATTAATTAAGAGGTAAAGTAACAGTATGTATAAAATATTCAGATCTGCTCCCTGAATTTCTTACAAGCAGTTATGTGTAGTGTGTACAAACTTTCTCATAAAATCATCATTACAATATGATAAATATCTTCTGTATACAATTTAAAGAATAATCAATAAAATCTATCCATATTTAGGAATTTTCAGTATGAAAATTTTGTATAAGAAGCTTGCTACGTATATGTTTTATACATACAGTAATAAAAAAAATAAAATCTCCCCACTTGCCCCAATTTTTAAAGAAATTAGGATGAAAATCTGAACTTTAAATTTATGTGGCCTTAATTTCTTGTCTGCTTCAGTACAAGATGCACAGAGTACTGTTGTAAATAGATTTTTTAAGACACAATCTTGCAAATTACAATTTAGTACATCATTCTGAATATTGAACAGTATACATTAATGTATATTAGTGATATTAAATGTAATTCTTTTTCACAACTGTTTACCCTTAAGTTAAATTTCTAGCTAATCAAGCTATAAATGGATATAAAATGTGTGCTGAAAATGACATAGTTGAAGTTAAATGCACAAAAAAATGTTGGATTTATTAACATTATGATAGAAATGAATATAAAAGGGTCAGAAATACTGACATCATGAAGTAATTACATTCTATAGCTTTAGTTCTTGACATATAACCTGAAGAAAATTAAAGGAATCTTAAAATAGGATATAAAACTTGAAAATTGAAGAAATATTTTAAAACTATAAAAAAAAAATCCATTGTCGGATTCAACATCAGAAAATTTCTGCAAGCTAGTTTATGGCTATTTAAACCATTGAATACCTAGCTAACAGCATTAAGTCTTATAAAATAGACCTATTTTTCTTTAGATACCACAAAATAAGAGACCATTCTCAGATTAACCATATAGTCACTGGCATTTACAATCAAGAGGCCAATAATATATTGTTTCACTGATCTTTAATCACTAAACACAAGTTGAATGTTCAAGTCCAATACAAGGGTGTCAGACAGACTACTACTAATTAAGCACTTCTTGTAATTATCCAAGGAGAATAATCTCACATTGAGTGCAGATTTTTTAGGCACTTAAAAAATGAAATGCGCCTGCTGCACACATTCAAGAAACTTATAATCTTTCAAATTTGACTCTTTTTTTCTTGCTAATGCATTCATTAAATGGATGTGGTGCACATTTTTGCAGAGAAACATTATTGCTGCAGCAAATAAAATGCATCAGAATGTCAAAGAAAAAAAAATCTACTACATGTGTAATACATATCTTAACTATCTAGGTACTGGGTACATTGTAGAAAAACAGTCTCACATTAATAGGTTATATTTTAAGGCAAAAATACACATTTTTTATGAATTAAAAGAGTTCCATATATAAATCTGTAAAAAATTTGGAACACAACTAAAAAGAAAAAAAAAATTCTGCAAGTGTCTGGAATTTTTTTTTTAAAATTATTAAATTATCTCATCTGAAATTTATTTTGGGTGAAAAAAGGGTATTAGATGCTTGTACTCACCTTCATCTTTCTAATCAGACAGGTAAAATCACCACGTATTATTTGTTCTCTCCGTCTATATATTGTTTGGACACACTATCAGGTGAAAATAACACATTCTATCTGGCTGTTTATTGCTTCTGTAGTGTTTATTGCCAGGTTAGTGTAGGTTTAAGCGAGGTTAATTAATACAACATCGCACTGAACGCAGCACAGAGCTCAGGGTACATGTATTTATTTATATTCCCCAGGTTTAAGTATAAGTAATCTGTTATGTTATGATGCTACAAGGAATGATTATGAGGTATTTATAGCTCAGAAAGGAGATCTAGGGAACCTCCAACAGCAATCAGAACTGTAATTAAAGGGAGATTTAGTTGTTATAAAGCTGCAAAAATTAATTAAAGAATCAACAGATATTATATTACCATCATATAATTATAATGCACTGCGCGTCAAGCAATTTTAGTAAACAAGACGTAATTCCTTAAAGCTTCTTAATAGTTCTCTGGCTTTGCAGAATTTCAAGAGCTAATTTTATAAAGATTAAGGAATTATAATTCAAAGTGAAAAATAGATTGATTCTTAGTATGTGTACCGCATTACATCAATCTTGTGATGTTTGTTTCACAACAGCGAATTAATTTAATTGTGAAACGTATTGAAAATATTTACAATACGCACTTTCACAATTAATCATGGTATCAGCAATTACATAATGGTTTCAAGGGATGTTCAGAAATGTAGTAAACAAATTTTGCATGTATAATACTCCAAGTCATCAAATTTCATCACAGCTTAATTTTTTGCGAAATTTTTCTTTCGGTCCATACAGTACACTCAGTATATTAATGCATTTATCATGTGACTGTCAAATCAGCTGACCAAACGAAAGTGAATACAGAATAGGATATATATTCTATGTTTTTTTTTTCAGTTAATATTAAGTCATATGTTAGAATAATTTGTTTTACAAAAACAAATTCAGTTTTAAAAAGATATCTATTTGTACAAGCTTCTCTATTAATCTGTTGATTTCTTCATAGTACACCTTAACAGTGCTGCATATTTTTGTTATTTTTCTTTCTGTAACAAAAATGGAGGAAAAAGTTACTTTCATAATATTAATTAAGCTTAATTTAAAAAGCTATGTATAATCATGCAATCAAGTCTTTGCATGTTGAATAGGATTGGATGGAGAAAAAAATTTTGAGATATATCTGAGAATTTGAGAAATCAAGGGTAAAAAAAACACGAAAATAAAAAGTCCTTGGGATTTCCAACTCACTCAGATTCCATGGTATTTGAGATGTCAATGCTCAAGATACCAAAGTCAGTGTAATGCTTCAGGCCACAGAAAACAGAATGATTTCATATATATTTCCATTAGTGAAATGGAAATTGTGCCAGTAGACTGGATCACTGATTTTGTCTGTAATATTGGGCCCGAATGTTGTAATAATAGTGTTCAGAAACTATTTCTGATGCTTTCACTGTCTCTTGTGAGAAATATTGTGACAATGATGACAAATGTATAAAAAAAACTCGAGCAATTATTTGTATGAGTTTCCAGTTTTCAGTGCATGGTGATAACCTGCAGATGAACATGGCCTTCTGCGGACTGCAGTTTTGCAATGACTGTCATATTTATTTGTCGTCAGAGATTTCTGGAACTGAAATGTTCAATAAAGTTATCCATTTTGATAGATGGCTTGACTTCTTGTATGGCTAGCTTATTTGTCTGCGCTTGTCAGGTTGTTGAGTTGCTCTTATTCTTGATAAACGGCAAGTCTACTTATTTATAGACATTTCAAAGGAACAATTTGATTTAGATGAAGCACACTAAAACATTTGAAAAAAGAAAAAAAATGGACTTAACTCTGACAGAGTGTTAAATCTATAATTGTCTTTGATCAGCACAATCATTTGTTTATGCAGTCTGTACTTTTTGGTACTCCAGTAAAAAAGACAGAAATCAATACATGTGTAACCAATTGAATTTTGTTACGTACAACTTCACTTTTATCTGTCATAGTGCAAAGTAAGGGGAGGGGGTGGATGCCATTAGCAGAAAAAGGTTATAGCTTAGGCTTTCTTTAGTCTTGCCTGGTAAAATGTAAATAGATGTTTAAATTAAAGCATTGCTTTCTTATAAACCTGTTTCGTATGTTAGTCCATTTTCTTTTTCTTTTTAACAGGCAAATTATTAAAATGACCTTTACAAGATTTATAGACAATTGGTGGAAGTTCCTGTCAAGCCTTAAGTATTATTTGTTTTGCATAGTGCACTGTTATATTCATTTTATACATGTATCCTCGTAAGATTTGATTATAAGCAGATTTAAAAAAAATTGTGTCTCTGATGTCAAAATAGATATAATAATTGTTCAAGATAATCTTCATGGCAAGGATGAGAATATTCTATTTCCTAGTTTTTTTTTTTTTTGTACAAATTATTTTGTACCATTAGTATGACAGGCGACCTCTCTATTTCATATATTGTTGCATTTAAAGCTGAACATGATTCATAAAAGCAATGTGTCCTCCATTTTTGTTCGGATTCTCGCTATATCTGAGGACCCTTATATAAAGGGCCTGACTTGGACACTGTTCAGTAAAATCAGTCGACACCGGTGTAGACGGATGTATGCTATACAGCACTCGGTAGCGAAAAATATAACTGTAATACCTCGTCTAATGCAGGAAAGTAAGATACAAAAGAAACTTACAATTACAGTTGTTCAGGTAAGTGCAGTATACAAAAAAAACACAGATACACGTAGCTACAATAAAATGTAAACAAAGGTAATGCAAGATAACCAGCACGAACACGGGTCGCCATTCCACGCCGATACCCGTGATAAAGCAGTCAGGTGTAATGAATGCAAAGAGTATACCCTGGTGTTGATGTATCGTAGATATAATATCGAAAATGGCGTATGCATATTTATGAGTCGTGTTCAGCTTTAACTGAATAAATATCATTATGTCTATGGGATTGTCAGTATCAAGATTCTTCCACTTGGAATATTTGATGTAAATCTTTTGTTATTTAGAGGTGTGCAAAATTTTATTTTTTGTAAATTTTGTGAGGTGATATATAATTTTGGTGTGACAGTATTTAAAAAGTTATGTATTTCTGTGCAAGGCCAAAGAGCCCTTTTGTTATATAACCTTTGAAAATTGGTTCCTATATAAATCTATACTTTAAAAAGCCTAACATTTCCAATGTTTTACTAAGGGGTCATAAAAAATTTGATGTTTGATCGCAGAGTGAGATACTGGACTGGTGATCAGAGATATTGGAGTGGTTATACATCAGCTAAATCCTATTTGTATTGACGTTGGTGTTCATTGTCCAGGTTTAACTGTAGTGCCGGTAAAGGAAATTTACACCATGGAAGCCAGCACAAGATACATGTATGTCAAAAAAAAAAAAAATAAAAGGAAAAACAAAACATTTATTGATTGAGTTTTTGGGCGAATGCTTTTGGTCAACCCGGTGTAGCATAATATTTTGATACCACGAAATATTGAACCAATATAATCACATAATATTTTGAACCTGGGTTCACTTTTTCGCTGCGATATAACGAACCCCCTATAATATATTGAACCCTGTGGGTTCAAAATATTATGGTTATAATATATTGACCCCAGGTTCAAAATATTATGGTTGTGAAATATGAACCCCCAATTCTTATTTTATTTTAGGTGGACATGAGGGGTGTCTCAATTAATCTATATAGTTAAGGGTGAGGTTCAAGATATTATGACCATAAAATATTGGTTCACCTTTTTTTTCTTTTAAATTAAGGGGTAGGGGGTTCAAAATATCATGCTTGTTTAATAAAGCAGGGGGTCCAAGATATTATGACCATAAATATTGATTCCATACCGTAGGTTGTTCTGTTATTTAAGAATACAGTGAGGGTTGTTCTGTTATTTGAGAAATTATACTATAGGTTTTTCTGTTATTTGAAAATATACTGTAGGTTCTGTTATTTGAGAATATACTATAGGATGTACTGTTTATTGAGAATAAACTGTTGATTGTCCTGTTAATTGAGAATACACTGTAGGGAGTTCTCCTATAATTTTGAGAACATATGGTAGGTTGTTCTGTTAATTGAGAATTAACCTGTTTTCTGAGACTTAGATTTGAACTGAATCCTGGTCTTGTTCCAGAAAATAATTGGGTTAAAATTATAATGCACTGTACTGTGAGTGAGTTAAATATAATATATATGCTAATTCAACAAATTGAAGCCTAAACTAAAGCTGTTAATGTGAATTTAATTTGTTGCTCCCATATGTTAATTGGAAATTTACAGTAATTAAATCAGATAATGGCACATTCTTAGATTTTGAATGAATGTATATATATATAATATATATATATATATATATATATATATATATATATATATATATATATATATATATATAAAGCACTAAAAACCAACAACACTGTATATCCTAATTAGTGTCGGATCTACTAAGTAGATACAAGGTCACGGATGGAAATTTATGTGAAGCACTAAAAATGACCAACGACATGAACAATACTTATTGTCAAATTTTCGGGACGATCTGTCCCTTCTTCAGGACAAAGAAAAAAGTTAAGAAGTCATAAAAACAAAGGAAATAGAGAAACAGAAACAACTAGCACTACTACTAAACTACCAAACACTAAATATTTACAGTATTACATGTTTCATTTGAAGTTTATAAACAGTTGTGAACAAAGAAATCCGGAGCGCTATGAATTGCGTCCGGTCTATCGGGTGTACTCTGGTAAAGTGCGATTTACATAATTGAACGAATTAATTATCTCTAATTAATTACGACCAAGCAGTAAGTCGTACATTATCTTATTCTCTCAAAATAGCGTAACTATACATGATAAAAAGAAATTAAAGATAATATGGAAGGGCAATTTTAAAATATGAATTTGTATATATATATTATAAATTTGGAAATCTGATAAAAAAAATAAACAAAAATGTAAGCTGTAAGTATTTGGGTAGGTTGTTCCAGAATTGCTAATGCGAATTAACAGTAAAGTTTATAGTATATAGAGAGAATGAACTTGTTTGTTACAATCCGGGATTGGGTCTAGTTCACGTTCATCCTGGTGAAGTCATTAAGTTTGTTAATACCATTAGGGCGGAAAGACTTCAGCCTGTGCATCCAAAACTTT